TTAAAAAGGAAATTAAAACTGTGTCTGTAACTTGAGCTTTGAAAAGCGTAGATAAACGGGTTTACTGAACAACTGAGAAGCGTAAGATACTGTGCAACGTGCCGGAGGCCTGTTAGATACGCAATATTCATCCTGTTAAAATTCAGTATGATCAAAAGACCGTAAGGGACGAAAGCTGTGAAGAACACCACACTTAACAAGATCAGCAGGATCACCAATCTTCTCTTTTCTCTTGCTTCTTCTGGGGTTTCTGCTCTTTCACTTTTGTTGCTGCAAATTGTCTTCTTGACGTAAAGGCCGTATACAATTTGGGAATAACAATAGGCGATAATGATGAACGGAATAAAAGTCAGAACAATAAAAAGACAACTGACGTAGATTGCCAATTCTTCTAAATCTGCATGGCAAGTACCCGCTGTTGAATCATAAGAGAAGCCTGCAAACAGCGGCGTCACCATCGCTATGGCAACGACCCAAATGGCAGTGATGACGTAAGCAATGTTGCCATTAGTGAGCCTGCCGGAGTTGATAAGCGGTTTCACCAGAGCGTGGTACCTTTCAAAGGCTAGGAGAGTCATGGTCAATGACGTCACTAAGAGTGTTACTATGACGATAGTGTTGTTATTAATGAACGCGCAAAGAAAACTGAGAAGTGCCTTCGGTGAAGTGGGATGGATTTTTCTAATGAGAAAATGGATTGCCGTGAACACTAACGTAGTAACATCGGCGGCTGCCACATTTACCAGGAGGTAATTGGTAGCTGTTCGCATACTGCGTATCATTTTGACCACAGTTATGACAAGCGAGTTGCCTACAACACCAACTATGATTATTAACCAGAAGAAGGCCATGTCGACATCTACAGTGGAGCGGCCTGACTGGTTTGAAGAATCCTGTGGCGCGCTTGTGTTTGTCATTGAGCTATTATTTGATATAGAAGACATTGTGTATCTTCAGCTACCACTTCTCCGCTACAGCGGGGGTTTGGTTGTGTTTTACCTGGAACAAAGTATCAAAAAGAAAGAAAAGATGTAAAACCATTTAGCTGACTCAGCCAGTACGGAGAGATGCTTAGTGCTGATGGATGCTGTTTGACTTTCACAGAGACACAGAACCCTTCTTTGCTTGGCTGATTTGATTTCTTGACTAACACAACATCAACATCTGATATTTTTTCAAAATATTTATTCGAAATTAACTCATATCTAACTATGAATATATGAAAGTCATAAATTTGAACTGCGGATAAAGACGTGATCTTCGCAGTGATGAACACTACTTAAGCAGTAGCGAAAGTAAGGCCTGAAAAAAAATTCAGGCCTGTACGGGATCCATGACCCATGACCCCCTGCGATACCGGTGCAGTGCTCTACCAGCTGAGCTAACACCAAATAAACCCGTTAAGTAGTGAATAAATGACTGAGAATATATGAAAGTCATATGTTTGAACCGCGGAGAAAGATGTGAATATAAAAGCGATCTTCGTATTAATGAACACTACTTGTGCAGTAATGAAAATAAGGCCTGAAAAAAAATTCAGGCCAGTACGGGATTTGAACCTATGACTCCTGCGATACCGGTGTAGTGCTTTACCAACTGAGCTAACGAGCCAACTGAGAGCTGAATTTTTTTTCAAGCCCTATTTTCACTACTGCTCAAGTAGTGTTCATTACCGCGAGGATCGCTTTCATACTTACGTCTTTATCCGCTGTTCAAATATATGACTTTCATATATCACAGTCGTTTGTTCATCAATTCATGGTTTTATTTGGTACCAACATAATGACCGCCCCCAGCTTTCATACTCATAGCCCATACCTACAGAAGCAACAATTTTTAGCCACTTTTTGCCTTTTAAAGTGGAGAACAACAAATCAGTTAGAATCCGGGTCAATCAAAGGACCGCAATACTGAATGTTGTTATTGGTCAAGCCCAAATAATCGCAGATTCCTTCAGAAAAAACTGTACTTAAGAAGGGAGGGTAGAACAAACTAGAAATGTTTCACAAAGAGGCGTATGTTAACGTACTCTATTTACTAGAGGATCGATCAAAAATTGGAATCGTTTCTATTAACCAAACTCATTATCGCATTGAAAAATAAATTTTTCGAAAATAAATAAATGTTACCCTCAACACCTCTCAGGGATTTGCAAGATTTTTTGAGCAGAAATGAAGATGTTGTTTTAAAACTTGAATTGAAACGGTATTCTTCAATAAATTTTAGTAATTCGAACTAAACATCACGGCTCTGTATGATATTTAAGAAATTGCTCCAAATTTCCTCTCGAAGATCCTTTAAAACAGTCTACAATGATACTGCAACTATTTCAGTTCTCAGGAAATTACATGGGCCCTTCCGTTTTCTTCTCCAGATCAACATTCTATCTTGACCTTCGATAAACCAAAAAAAAAAAAAAACGTATAAAAACGAAAAATATAAATAAAAGAGTGAAAAAGGCGCTAGCTAATCAACGTTGGATAAAAGAGCCTAGAAAACTGAGATTCGACGGTAAGATAGTTAAAACCAATTACTCGCAAAACTACGCTGTAGATCTGAATAGTAATGATTACTTTCATTAAAAAAATTTTCTTTCATGAGAGAAAAAAAAAGCGAAGCAATGCTAAGTATCATGATTTGTGTTGCAAAACGAACACGAACCCACAACCTTCCTCCAAGGTTTATCTGCTGGCAGTTTATGTAATTATTTTTTTAAACATACATGCTCTGGCAATGAGATAGCGAAAACATATTGACGATAGCATTTACGGTATTCCTAATAACAGCGACACAGTCAAAATATAACTTTCAGGTGACAAAAATACGAAACACACTCAAAGCTTACAATTTTTCTCTTTTTCATGTTTGCGCAACCGTCGAAAAGCGAGCCCCTTCGATAAGTTCATTGCCATGTACAAAGTGAGGATACGAGGTAAAATCCATAAATTCTACTGACGAAAATCACTGTAATCAATGATGAACTCTACAAAACTTTTTGTGAATGAAAATGAGATCGCAAAGTCAGTTCACCATTCAACGAGTTCTGAGTGTTAAGATCACAATTTCTCTGAGGCAAAGTCATAGCGCCTTTGATTTTGCTTCCGGTGTTATTAGAATTTGGCTAGAGTCTCAAGATATAGCCCTAAATCAACTTATTTTGGTGACGGCTTCATTAAATAAGAAAATTTGAGCCAATCTTACCTCTTGATCTCGGTTTACAGAGAGCTTTCGAAGTTCGTATCTGTGTGCGTTTGACGTTTTCCATGCCTCGCACTTATTATGAATGAAATTTTTCCTAACATGTTAGTGTTTTAATGAACGGAGGAAGTAGGAGACAACTTGTCAATGTTTCGATGCCTCTTCTGTCGTAATGAGCAATAATAGATATTGCCGCGGTACATATGAATCTGCATTTCCCAAAATCTAGCCTATGGCAAAAATTTTCGATCTGTCGATTTAATTCTTAAAGTTTTCTCAAGGCAAATTTGACTGCCCTGAGCAAAATGGGCCGAAAACATGTATGGTAATAAAATTGGCGGAAAGGTAACCTGCTCGTGGTCTCTTTTTTAAAATTCAGCGAGTGCCGACATGTCGCAATTTAGGATGAAATTTTACAGCTGCCGAGTCATTACGAGAAGTCATGGAAAATGAATTTATACTGACCCTAGATAACAACATTCCGCATCGTACACGAAGGGATCCCACTACATTTTAGGTTGCAAATTTGTGATTTCAGTCTTTTCGTTTAGCACTGTCCTCAGCTATACCATTCGTTTCCTTTAAATCCTTTTTTTAATTGTGATACCAGAGTGTGAGCACTTGGAGGAGTACTCAAGTACATTAGCCTAAAATCAGATGTTGTTTACTTCCTTGTAATGCATTTTAACCTGACAACCACTTGGAGCTTTCATTTCGGCTAACGATGTGTTCAATCATAATGTAGCTCTTCAAATGCTTGATTCCGCATCATACACGAAGGGACCTCACTACATTTTAGGTTGCAAATTTGTGATTTCAGTCTTTTCGTTTAACACTGTCCACAGCTATAAGATTCGCTTCCCGGTTTTAAATCCTTTTTTAAAATGTGGTAACAGAGTGTAAGAACTTGGAGGAGTATTCAAGCACATTAGCCTAAAATCAGATGTTGTTTACTTCTTTGTAATGCATTTTAACTTGACAACCACTTGGAGCTTTCATTTCAGCGAACAATGTGTTCAATCATAATGTAGCTCTTCAAATGCTTGAGAGACCTTTCCTTTTTCTACTTAAGCTCTTTATGATTTTTGATATGCATAAATGCTCTCAATGTTAAAAAAATTGACTTGTATTGTTGTGGCTAAAGTTTCCTCGTAAGGGGTTATGTTCATCTAAAGGGAAACTTCCAAAATTCTCAGATTTCTTTAAAATATTCTCGCTATGTTATTAGAGGCGAAAATTCCGCTAATTTTTATTACAGCCATGCATACGTCGGATCAGCTACACAAATTTGTCACAATATCAGTAGTTATTTGGTTGGTAAACTTTCAAATTAATAGTTGAATTTTTTTGCCGAAGATTTAACAATGCCCAGAAAGGATGTTGTTTATCCTACACCTTTAAAGAATTGGACACACTAACCGACGAGGTATGACTTTCAAGAAGACCAATATCTAGGTGAAAACTAGATCTTTACCGCTGTCCATAATTTTAGTGTTTCTCTTTTCAGTGGCAAAGTATACCCTTGAATTGGCACAAAAAAAGAAACCTAACTCTATGTAAAGACTGCGCAATAAATTACTCATGAAAGATTATCTTTTTCTTTTGTTCTATACTCCTCAACAACATTAGAATAAGTTTTTTATTACAAAATCATCAGAATAATTTATGCCTTTTTGCGCCATCGGCACCCACGCGAGCAAGGAAAAATAATAAAGTGAAGGCTACACTTAAAAAGGAACAGGAATAAATAGGAATACAGAAGATTAGGCAGATTTTGCATTTAGTTTTAGAGTTCTAAATATGCCCAAATGATTCCGTAGTTTCTCTTGAGTCGACCCAACTTGAATCTAATCACCATCATCAGTTTTGAATTACATCCTCGAGACAGAATTTCAAGAAACCGAAGAATCATAAAATTTGTGTTGAATTATCGAAGTATTTCAATTTTGAACGAAATCCGACAAGAACTTGGTAGTGATGTAGTCTGGATTTCATTCTTTTGATTGTGAACCAAACTCTAGGCTCTCGAACCAACGGGATTAAATAAGATAAGAAGGAGAAGGCGAGTTTATTCGTACAAATGCGCTTATGTTTGTTTTCTGCTTTTCTAAAAGTTTGTTTTTAGACAACACAATGCTTGAAAAAACACATTTGCATCTTGAGACTAAGCAATTTTGTCATTAGTATATCAGGTGCCCCGATCAAATATAGCAAACTTTAAATTGCCTTTTGCTTTTTCGCTAAAACCAAACCAATTACTCCTATTATCTAATTCAGAAAGTAAAAGAAAAGAAAGAAAAGGCTAATTTTTCGTTTCGGGTTTTACATTGAGGTCAATTTTCATCTTAAAAAGTGATTGGAAATCTCAACCTAACATCATGTAACTGATCAAAAGGTCAAAAAAACTAGCGCACTCTTTCACAAAGTGAATGCAAATTGAAGCGAATTCTACAAAGCAAGAAGGAGCAGTAGGTAAGGGGAAAGGAAAAAGAGATATTGATTGATGTTTTAGCTTTAGAAAATTAGTTGAAATATTTTGCCTCCAATAGTTTTAAATCTCTTTTAATCATGCTGGCATGGGCTTAAAGCCAAATTTTTTTTCCAGAAAACCTACACGAACAGTTTTAAGTTTCAGAAAATGAGATGTCAGCAGTCTCTATAAATACATTTTTACGTCTAGATACTCTGAAAAATCTGTGTATATCGAAAAAAAATTCACATCATAGGAGAGAAGCGTTGATATTTCTATCGTTTTTATCTGATCTTAAATAAAAGCTGAATATTTGGCGGGTTACGCTACTTTTTGAAGAATTCAAATCTAAATGTAACAACGTTTTGACTGACAAATAAGACCTTGGCCTGAAGTATAAATTTCACACAGATTTTAAAGTGATAATATTAATTTGTCCCACGCGCGTGGGATCGGATCAATCAGACAATTAAGTTTTCTTTAATCTTCACCTTCTAAACATCGGAAACAGGGCTACAAATCAATAACGTTGGACTGATATTCTCGAGGGTCAACCGACCACCGACGATTGCAAAAATGTTCGTCAATTACATTCAGTTCGTGATAACAAGTCGCCTGCGCATCAAAGTCAGTCCTTTCAATCCTCGGCCTGTCGTGAGGGTTTTGAGCAACACTGTGCTCTATCAACCCGCATTGCGCATGTACTCATTTATGTTACCGTCACCCTTGGAACATTTCATTGTCGTTGTAGTAGTAGTAGCGGCTGAGAATTAATAGAAAATTACCTGATAAGAAGAAACAGCTTCATGGGAGGTTGAATCCCTCTACGATCGAAGAAGACGCAAGAAAAGTTTTCAATTTGAACATATCGATAAAAACTGGTTTTTAATCGTGTCGTGAGATTTTAACAGCCGAAATCTTAATCTTTTTAGGCTCATGTATTTTCCTATAGGTATCCTAGGGCAAATATCCGGCTTAAGTTCTGAGGTAAACTTTATAGAGAGGCTTCAGCTAAGCTTAATTAAGACTAGACAAGGTCGAACCTGACTTTATAATCTTACATGGGCGCTTGGTGGAAAGAAGAGAATACGATATTCAGATTGATTGACTGAAAACGAGTCTTGAAAAAATCGTCTTTTTTTTTTTCGTAAACTGGAACCTTTCAAGAGTAGTTATTTGCGTCAAATTAAATTCATTTTCGTTAGTGATTTTGACGAACCAAGGCGACGTAACGAACTAAAATACCAGCGGCATCAGGAGTCCGTCATAGTCAAGTACTAAGTTCTCACGAATTAACCTTGAGAGAAGGAACAGATTCTAATCGAAAACTTTAGCAAATCGATAATAGTTGAACGTGGCCTGTACTCTTATCGCCAGTGATATTCGTCATCAGAGTGTTCAAAAAAGTTATGGATACACAGGGCACAGTCGAGTGGGTCCACAAAAAGTTTTGATCATTGTGATGACGAAGATCGTTGTGGAAAAGAGTACAAACCAGGCTGAACCACTGTCGATTTGTTTTTTTACCACAATATCGACATCAAACAAAGTGATTCTTCAGTGCATGACCAAGATCGGAACACGTTGACGCGAACAGCTATGTCTATACTCTTATACACAAAGGTAAACTGGCCAATCAGATTGCAACATTGCTGTCAATTGTGCTATAAAAAAAAAGCAGTATAACGAGATTCCTGTCCTTCCCACCATAAAAAAATATTACCACTGTAGGAAGGAAATGCCAAATAACAGTTTGCTGACGTAGCAAAGAATCCGAATACAAACGCAGATGATTCTGTTGAATTGGGGCTTTCTTTTTTGAATTGAGCGAAATTTTATACAATCCACAAACGATCACTTGGATTTGATTTCTACATCAGATAACGAAAGGAAAAAATATCAAAAGCCTAAAGTTCGTTGTAGCTGTATGATTAAGTTGCAAGACAAATCGCAATGTAAACAGTGGCCTGATTAAATTTTTTACATTGCGAATTGTATCCCAGTATCACCTAATTTCTCTCAGTAGTAAGCCTGATGCAACGCTATATTCTCATAACTAGCAAGAAAAGAAAAGTACTTGGGCGGTGAAGAGAATTGCTTTGTACCATTGTAATTTGAATTTGAATTAGATTTTCATTTGGAATTATTATTAGAAGCATCAGAAGCACCGAGCAAAAATGCAATTTTTTTCCATTCTGTAAGAAGAAATTAATTCCTTTCGGCTTTCTAGAAAATTTTCTCCTAAAACAACATAAACACCTTACTATGATTGTCACGAAAAATCACTCGTGCATTTTCCTCTGAGTGCATCTAACGTACAGGTAAACAACACTTGTAAATCGTTCACCTCAAGCCGGTACTGGCCGGAGAAGTTTATTTTCCGCGGTTAATGTTGGTAAAATTTGATAGAGCTTACCTTGAGTCAGAGTATATCCCTCAGCTTCAAATATGATCCAATTTCTACGATCACCTTTTTCGACAAAAAGCGTTGGCTTCCCGCCTCGCTAGCTTTGGCTATTATAACTCAAGAATTTAAACTCAGCACATCGAACAATCTCGAAGATTTTCTTTCAGAATTTTTGTCTTTGTTTCTGCATCCAGCAACACTTAGTCCTGCAGGAAGTATATTTGCTCAGATGAAGTTGGAGGCTTTATACTCTATTGCATAAAGTCTCAGATCCTTTTGTAATTTTTACAAAGCGGGAGATTTGGAATGACAGTCACGTATAGATGGAATAATGTCTGTGTGTCACCATCCCGACAGAGAACACTGTTACTCTCTATTAAAAGCAAGGTCTACAATTGGTTGAAAAACATCGTCACGCCTGGTAAACATCAGGCATCCAGGAACTTTTCAAATGAATACGGTAAAATGCATATCCGGGATCACGTAGAGGGACATCTGTCTTCTGAGCGCAGATGACGTACGTGCGATGGCAGTTTCATTGTTATTTGTGGTCGATTTTACGTGGAGATATGAATTTAATTATGAAAAAGAAATTGAGTCACGCTTCATATTTGGCCAATTTCTAACTCGAATCATCAGAAAAAAAACGAGAGCGAAAAAGAATCGGTCAAAAAAATAGTTGGAATTTATAAGATGCCCCCTAGGCCGATGGAAGAGCGTGATTATTGGCACATTAAAATTTATTTACATCGAATCAGATCGAATAAAGAAAACGAAATGGACAGCGAAATCGCCGTCATACAAACAAATTAAATTTTGATAGATTGTGGTTCAACCTGATAATTTTTCACGGAAATTCGCTTTGTTGGTTTCTAAATGTTGGACAGCGAGCGTATGCTTTTCGTAAAAGCCCACTTATTTTTAGTTTGAATGATTATGCATTTTTGGATGTTTGGATGATTTTTTCTATTTGGAATTAGGAACATATGCTAATTACACCGTAATGAGACTCGACTTTGCTATTTTTTCGTAAGCGGTGAACGTTTCTTTGGGAAAGCTCTACGCTGTCAATGCATCAGTCGGCCCCAAGTCGCCGAAAATTTGCAACTGAAAATTCAGAAAGATAACCGATCTAGTACAAATGTGCTAGCGTCTAACGGATGTGAATTAGGGTCACTAATTTTGTTACAAGACAGGGTTTCAGATCATTTTTTCTTTGACATTAGCGATTTTCATCAGCTGAACCATTATGCCGCGGTTTGCCTCGTCTTTCAGGGCTTAAAACCTTTGCAATAACAGTCATGCCAGCAGATGGAGCAAATTCGGCTAAAACTATAAGGTTTTTTTTTTACAGTCCTTTTGATTTCGCCTTTAAAGTTTCCCTTTTTTTGTACAGGCTAACAATGTTTTGAGAAATGTTCAGTGTAACCTTAAAATAATTTTCAGCGAAAAGAATGAGATGTGAATGACATTACCTTTTGCTGTCACGTCAATATAAATAACAATAATAAAAACGGTAAATTATAATAATGGCATAATAATATTATTAATAGTAACAGTAATGATGTTTACTGAATCCAACTCGCCAAGGTGGTTTTCAATTTGAAGTTACCCTTCAGAAACACAGGATGAAGCTGTGGATTCACCATTACGTTAGCGGAAGTGTGGTTGCCGTTTTAAAATAGTCAACAGACAACAGCAGCTGTACATATGGTCTTCAAATATGTTGATTTACTGCTGATTATAAATGTTGCATGACTTACCTTAGAAGTCGCGGAATATGTAGTTTGTTGACAGCTATGCAAATAAGTTCCAACAGCCCGAACAATAATGATAAGGTCGACACTAATTGAATTTTCCCGGTGAAAGAGCAAAGTCGATGTTTTACTTGCTGTGTTTTCTATAAAAAAAATAAAGCAAGAAAGAAAACGAAAAAGTAAATAAATATATTTGACGATGGTGCCGTTTTACAGAAGTATATTCTCGCCAAATATATAGCCTCGTATATATATAAATGCGCACGCTCGAAATTAATTTTCAAAGGTTCAGGTGATAAATTTAGACACAAACTTGACGTTATTGGCGACACGTTTGCTTAAAAGCAACAAGTTCTTTGATAAAAAAAATTATATTTCTATCAAAGGAAAAAGCTCTTTCTTGCGTACGGTAAAGGAAAAAGATGTCAAATTTTCTTCAAATGCAATAAAAGTGGTAGAATATAATGCCGGTACAAGTTAGGCCCGGCCAATTTGGTCGTTTCTTCATTTTTTGGAGGAATCAACCACCTTTTCGTAGTAGGAGAGCAAAAAAGCTTTACGAATCTTACGAATCTTAAACGAGTGTTACTGGTAAATCGCAACATTATTCAACAAAAGGAATAAAGAGATCCTTTATTACAGAGCCTGATTTTGGTCTTTGCAGACATTTCGGAAAAGCATTTCTTTTCCAAGACGTCTGCAAACACCAAAAACAGGCTCTGTTTGAAGGCATCTCTTTATTTCTTTTTTTATGGTAGAGTCGTTAGACAACTTAATTTCTAAATTATTCAACACGTTAAAGTACTTGATTTATCCTTTCTCCCTACTGAGCGACCTCAAAAATGAATGAATTGAACATTCAATATGATTTTCGCAGGTAAGTTGGTGAAACTGATTAGAAAATTGATTTACTCGGCCAGCACATGCTTTTGATAACGTCAACTATTCACGTACATGCGGTAAATAACCATTGCAATGGAGTTAGATGTGATTAATTTAAGCCTGAAATAACCTAGAGAAGACAAAATTAGAATTATTAATCGATCCTTACTACGATAGTATCAACAAGTATTTAGAAATTTACGAGGCAAGTTCCTCAGACTTACGCTTTAGTTCTATAAAAAGTGCCCACGTAACGAAAGTCGGCAAAGAAAAATTCGTTGCTTTCTTGAGAAGCAAAATGAAGCACGGACGGTCTCATGAACACGTTTCATCAAACGAAGTTTTTCTGTGGGAAACAAATTATTCATAAGTATATTCAAGTCACCAAAAAGAGACAACTGTCATGGTGTGATGTTTACTCGTCGTTTATTTATAGCGAAAAAAATTATTAAAACGACAGATAATTTGAACAAGGCTTTCGAACTGTGACGTAACCGTGTCAATATTTTCGTGCGTTTCGAGGGGATTTTTCGTTAAAAAAATTGTTCTTTTTACTTCCTGGACAAGATGTGTTGGATATCTCTTACGTAAAGATTAGAATCGGTATGGTAAGTCGTGGGCTATTTTTTAGGTCAAGTGGTACAAATTCATACGATAAAAAAATTCTTGCGTAATAGGGCAGTTGGGACTCTCATTTTTTTACAAGTTTATTCACCTGGAAAAAGGTCCAAATTCCTCAAAACAAAACGCAGTGAGAAGACGATGCATTTGGTTTTCAAGAACCGTAATGTGCGGTTACTGAGTTTTAATGAATGTGTTCGTAATCATGTTTGTAACAAAATAACATTAACGATCGAGAGCTTAATTACAATAATTCTATCCTTTCATTATTTGTTGACAACGCTACGAGACGCTCTATGAAACGATCTCGTTTTTTTTTTTTTTTTTTTTTCTCTCCTTCTATCTCTCTTTTTCTCTTTTACTGGAAGTGGAGCCCCTTTGAAGACTGACACAGTTTAGAATACATTCGCTATCGAGGGAAGAGGCGAAATATTTGTCTTGAGCCGACGTTCTAATCCAAATTTACCAACCCATCTGGCAGCTAGGTAGATGCAAATCATGTCACACGGTTGCTAATCTAAAGATGCAATAAACATGAAATGTGCGGGGGAAGAAGACTTGTCATCTCGTTCCTCCGTTTTTCTTCATATTTCATATGTAAGACGACCGTTGCAATTGCTTGAAAAAAGGAAGAGGGCGAAAAGCAATAACATTCCGCTGTGGGGGCGTTTGCGATGATATCACTTTTATCATTACAAATAAAAACTCTGATGCATAATAGACTTAGAGCTGTCTAAAATTATGAACAATTTAAGGTAGCTTTGAACTCGCGATACAGATCTTTTAACAAATTTCAAGAGGATGAGAATTCATTTATTGAGTTGTGTAGGGATGTACAAGGTCGGTTACCTTTTAAAAATTTTACACGCTGCACGCAAAGAGAGAATATTTCAAACTCTGCTATAATCTTTTCTTTCTTTTACAGAAAACTGACCATTTCACGTCGTATCTCATATCCCATCAACCCCTCCCCTCTCCTCTTAGTAGTGTTCATGGCTTACCACTTCCTCTTCTGCAGTTAAGCGAGGAAACCTCTTCAAGTTAACCTAGGATGACAAGTTACATGCTGATTTTAATTCTCAGAAATAAGACTGGGGCTTTAGCCAGCTCGCTTATAAGTCATCAAGCCTAAAAAATCTGAATAAAAGAGTGAGTTGTATATCTATCTCTGATGTTTTTGACATAGGTTGAGGTGAGTGGAATGCATATAAAATAGTTAAAAGACGACCAGTTGTCTATTTTGAACACACTGAAAAGATTATCGTCAATATGACGTAGTCACCATTCGCCTTCCGTTTGAGTTGTCTCAATAAAATATAACCTGTCTGTAAGGAGTTTGTTGCGAGTGGGATGCATCCTGACTCGTATTCCAAAACATCGTGGGAGAGCTTTGGATATATTGTAAAGTTCGTACCTATATTATTTTAATTTATTTTAACCATGTTCGTGTCCAAATTTGACGCAACGTTCTACGTAAGCGAGTTTGTGTTCGGCCATAATTTTTAGAGTCGGTCTCTTCACCCTTTCTCTTCCAAGATCTCATTGGTAACTCTCTTTACCATCTGTCATACAGGTTTTATGAAATTATTTCGGAGAGTTTGGTATTGGATCAACTAATAATCCCCTGGTTGATCTTTTCTTTATTCTCCTAACTTGCCTGCTTGATATTGCGTTGATGTTGTAACGAGAAATTCTGTCTTGCTCACTCCTGGGGATTTAAGGGGTTGATGTTTTCAAAAGATATAATTCTTGGAGAATAAACGCGATGGAGGAACTTTTCGTTAGTTGAAGTCTTACACTGATCTTGATGGAAATAACTAACAAGAAACGTCAGCGATATTAGACGGAAATTTATTTTATATCATGCAGGTGAAAAAGAGATGCCCACCTGCTTCTGTCCATTAGCCAGCATCTTTAATGGATTCAAATTTCAATTTATTTTGTGGACAGAATAAAACAAAAGCGTCGTAAACAGATATGAAGCCAGAATCCTTTTATCCTGCTTTGTTCATGCTCACTTCATTGTAAAAAACGCGATTGAGTCACCAATACCGTTCTTGACTCTCCATAAAACCTTGTTGGAAAATGCAAGAAGCCAACTAAATATCGGTTTAATTTAGAAGTCAATGCAAAAAGTATTAATACGAGAAAAGACTTAGATAAAATAAGAAATATGGGAGACTTCTTTATGTTTCAATCGAATAAATTGAAAAATCATCGTCCGACTTGCTCTTTCTTGGAGCTACGTTCTTCAATGTTGTTATTGATCATGTTTGTTTGCAAAAATTGCGTTTCTTTTAAGATAAATTTTCGATTATGTGTCCTCATTTTTAAAAGGTTTGCAAAACCTTTAAACAACATAGATTTTTTTTCTTTAATTTAGTAAAGCTTTCAGAAATGTTCGATATTTTGCACTGTCTAACAGTTTTCATCACTCATCATGAATTTGAGGTTTATGAATTGAAACAAATTATTGAAAACCATCAGACTGCAATTTATTCTAGAAGTCTATTCGTTTTACTAAACACATTGCCCAGGGAAAAGTAACAAATCTGCCATAAGTGATTTCATACTTGGTAAGAAGAGACATCAGTTTAAACTTAAAAGGGAACAAGATAAATTCCAATTTTCCCGGTAACTTTGCCAAGCAAAATTACCTTGCCAAAAAAGCAGGCGGCCAAATCCAGACTGAGAAACTAATTTAGGAATGTTTACATAATATCTATGTATAAAAGAAGAAAATTCAAGCAAAAAATAAATTTGCCCGACCAATCAAAAAGATCTACCTAGCTAATAAAAGAAGTATGTTATTTAATATTATTGCTGATTATGCATTCAAGGCAATCGTAGGTAGAGAAAGATATGATGACTTGACACTGGAGAAAATTAGCTTTGCTGTGTAATATTTCATGCGTTAACTTACAACATTTCCTTGTGATATTTCATGAACTAACCTACAAGCTTTGGAGTGATTTAAGGGGGTTCACCGTTTGAAGTAGCAGAAATGTAAAGAGGAGCCAATAGAAAGTAAAATTGGAAGGTTCTAATATTCAAGAAAAATTTTCAGTGGTGTGGAAAGTGAAGTAATTGTCACGTCCTTTTGTAAGTTTTGCAGAGACTGAACCATCTATATGGTGGTTTGATAAACTTGACAGATTTTTTTCGGCTTTAGCCGTTTCCAATTAAATTGACATAAATTTTGTAATGTTTCTCAATTTTGAGTGAAGTATGGTTTTAATTTCCTTGACGGACCATTTTACGCTGTCATTCTTAAGTCAAAGACATTTTTCGAAATTATGCATTTAGTTCCACTGGGATGAAGGCAGCTGGATCATAGTCATTGTAAAATACGTTGCACGATTTTTTTTTTTTAAATGTCTTCCCTAACCTTTTTTGATTGAGTGAAACTAGTCCGAATTCAGGCGCTATTAACCCTATGTTTACTTTCTATATTTCTTCTTTCCGCCCAAAGGATTGTTAAAGACAAATTAAAAATCCTTATTTAAAACATTGAAGAAAAGATCGCCCTAAAATTAATGAAAAGAAAAGATCAAAAACAAGGCGTGGGCTTGTTTTCTTTTGCTTTTTTTTATTTTTTTTTCGGTTCCATGGTCTTATCCACATCTCTCCTAAAACGAAAGCTGATCTACACTCTTTCATGTAGTGTTTTATTTGGTATTATAACTGAAAAATCAAAAAACCGTGACTAAGAAGAAACTTAAGACATTTCAAAATGTTTTTTCTCAGATAGGTACCAAAAAGGTAAATCCAAAACTTTGCCCTGGTAAGAACAACTTACTCTAGTTTATGTTTCTTTTAGTGTTAAATACTGATTTAAAAGACTTACCTTCAACCTCGAAAAAACAGCAGAAAGTTGTTTTGCAGTATTTAAGCTGGGGCGATAATGATTAATTGACTTCTGGTAGCACAAGAACATATATTGCTTTTTTCCAAAGTTCACATTATTGCACCTCTGCTATTGTCCAATAGGAGATCATTTTTTTTAATTAAAACTGAATCATTACCCGGAGACATTTGTCTGCTGACTGGAGACACTTCAGACAAACCATCAATTTAGGTAGATTTCAAAGGAAACCGTGTTTAGAAATTGGCATAAGGAACCTTAAACTGTTCAACACATTTTACCAAACTTGTGCCATCATTGTTCAGTTAATTTTATACATAAACAAGGTAGATCTTATCTGTAAACTCAGTACACAGGAGCAGCAGAGACTAACAAATCAAATTAAAAAATGTTTTTGAGGTTTCCAAGAGATCACGCAAAGATAAAACTCTAATCTGGCCTTTACCGCGAAAGTCTTTTTCATGTGCCGAAACTTAAGATTAAAAGCATTTCTGATGTCATTCGAAATTCGATTTTCGACCAGAACTATATCCGCTTGTGAACCTGATGGTAGTTAGGAGTGTTAGAGATTTATCCCGTGTTGTTAAAGGCAGATAGTCACCAAAAACAGGCCGCGAGAAAAATGGCATCTCAGAAACCCACAAGTCAGATTTTGTTTCGAGCATGGCGTCATGGGCACGAAAGGAAAACACAAGTGAACACAACTGTAAAACGTATGGGGTCTGGGCGAGAAAATAAATTTTGCCGCCTGCGCTCCAATTTCCCACGCCATGTTTTTCAGGCTTTTACAGTTTAAAAAAAAATGAAAGTGAAGTCCTCTCTATTGACACAAGAGATTATATAAAATCTCTTGACTGAAGGAAACTTGTTTAATTCGCTATTTATGAAATTTGACCTTTTGTATATTTTAAAGGAGTCTGGAGATAAATCCCAGCGTTCCGATTGGTTCTTTCTTGATCGGGATTCTGCCCTACGGACCGCTTCCTCGGAAACGATCATCAGTCGTCCATTTTTGTTTACGCGGCCGGCACATTTGATATTTGCATCAAAGACTGTGAAGTTCATCATGGAAAATACTTTCATCCTTCGCAAAACCAAATGATTCGATTTTAGAAAGAAGCGGCGAACTTTTCATTATCCGCAGGAACTGCGGTTTTGTGCGCAATAAAGCGATGAGCTGCGAAGCTTGGGAAGGAACATGACTTATTTCCAAGCACTTGCGATTTCTTCGCTCATCGCTTGGCGAACACAAAACCATAAAATGCATACAAAACCGGCAGCCAGCCACACAGGCTGATGTCTAGTTGTATATGAAACAACCATAAACGAAATCCAGGAGGCCATAGATTATTATATAAACAAACAGTAATATGCAGACACAACTGATTTGTATTTTATAAAGAAGCAGACTATCATTCACGGGGCGAAGTTTTCATTCACCTCAAGATCTGATTGAAATTGTGATGAGACCTGCGCAACAAGCGGTTTTATGGGTAATATCGCGATGATATTTTCCGACACTTGCGATTTCTACCCTCATCGCCTAGCGAACAAAAAACCACAAAGTGCACACAAAACTGCCAGCCAAGCAGGCTACTCGTGATGTAGCATTTGAAACAACCATAAACGAAAGTCAGATGGCCATAGACGATTTTATAAACAAACAGAAATATGCAGAGATAAATTAGAAGCTGACTTCTCTTACTGATCCTTCCTCTCTTTTGTTTTGCTTTCCTCTGAAATAATATTTCTTTACAAAGTGATTATGCGCTAAAGTTGTTATCAATTTTTATTTTGGTGTACAGTGTCCCATGTTCTTAAGAAATGCAGCCTAGGTATATATGTTGTCTTACAGTGGCATTCCTTAACACTTATTTTTATGTTACATGTACAATGAAGAATTATTTAACATCCTTAACGTTATTACGTTATCGACTGTGTAAAAACTAAATACCTTGTGGTTACAGCTCGGTCTTTCGCTCAGGTGAGGACATTCAGTAAAAATCATAGGACAGAGACGGAAGATTAATGTAAAGGCGAACAGCGGTGAGATTGGCTCTAAACTAAACTGGCTTCGGCGATAAGAAGCTGCATCAGGAAATCACAATACTTTCCACACGAAGCTAAAAGTAACTAAAGGGAAATCTTCATAATCCGGCCAGCGCCATACGGATTTCCCTTTCTGTCTCATAATTTTTCTTGAGGACACGGAATAACTAACATCAACCGAAGAGGGTGATTGCAATCTTTATGACTTTCATCATAATAATCGCTTCGGGCTTCATACATATTTTTTAAGCAGCGATGACAAAATGGTTATGATAGTAAGCATTACTCTTACTTTCTTATCTTACTCTCAAACTGAGAGAGAGAGAGAGAAAGCAGAAAGTTTCGCTGAATTGGTCAGCTGTGATATCAAAGTCACTAGAAAATTCGCCTCAGGCACATTAAAATTTAGATATTATGTCATATGTGATTAATAGGTTTTTGGCTCACTCTTAATGTAAATACTACCTTTAATTTTATAAAACTTCAGGAAATTTGTGAGAAAATCTATGGTCTTTTTTTTAACGATTATTTATATGCGTGTAACTTGATGAAAACTACCATTAAAGACTTAACTGACGGAGCAATCGAAAGAGAATCAGAAACACTACTTTAACTTGATACAAAGCAAGATTTGATCTATAACATATATATAAATACGTATACAGATACGTTATTTCTTTTTAATGACGAAGGAAATCAAATACAGTTACGCACCAGCATTACTAGTAGTTCCTAGTGATGTTTCTCACACAATAAATTTTTCTTTAAAACAACTTATAATTCAACAAACCTTCCTATAAATTTACGTGCCCCAATGGTTATTCATCAGATAGAAATTAGTTTTACTTTTCTGCGATTGCTTTTGTTCTTTGGTGTTAGCGACTTATAAGATAACAGACTGGAACTTGAATGAGATAAAACTCTTGTCATATGCTTTACCTAGCACGAACAAAAACTGTTATCAACTTGAATCACGCGTAAATTGATTTAAAAGGGTTGGAATAGTTTTATGCAGCGTCAGTAATTGTGCAAAAGGAGCGACTCAGTTAAGCTCCTCTTGAAAAAACTTTTCAGCTTATATAGCAGTTCAAGAATCTAAGGAAGGATATATATAGTAGCTGTACTTATTTAGCAGATGTGAATCGTCCTGTTTGTAAAGTATAGACGGCGTATGGATGTTCTAATCAATTTAAGACGCATAACAGCATTACAACGACAAACGCTGTTGTCTGCTTAAGTTTAGTCTTGATGCGTAAAGGTCGTTCTCCATATTTTGGCGCAGATGATCTGCAAAAAGCTAACAGCTAACTGGTAAATTCTTAGCTTGAATACGGTCATTTCAGAAACATAAGGTGGCCATATGTAGATTTTGGTAGTTATATGGTCATAATGTGTTTTCTAAGCAACGCCAAAACCTGTCGAGACCGGTTTCGACAGGTACCGTCTAAATGTTTTGCTTCACACCTTCATAATTCAAACCTTAGTTCGGATTCGAGCCATATTTAGTATTAAATATTGATCAGTCGTCCAGGATACAAATTGATCGATGAACAATTATTCGCCGAAGGCGAAGTCAATTTTGTGAAATAATCCCCGAGACGAAGTCGAGCGGCATATTCCACAATATTCACTGAGCATCTGTTGTGCTCTTCGAAGTTGAATTTTCTTTTAATCGCGATTATCAACTCTTCAAAAGCATTGAAAAAAGACGAGAGGCAGACATTTTGAAATTTAGCGCTCTTATTATAATCACCTCGCGCGAAGTTATTAAAGCGAGATACAGCGTAATCCTCAACCAATCAGAGCGCGCGCATCTCTATAATCGCTGAGCAATTAAACTAAAAGCTTTTATAAGGAGGATCAGGTCCTGTTTTACAAATGTGTGCTACATCGCTTCAAGATCTTTATTTTCATTTTGTTGAAGACCCCACACGATCCTTATCACGACCACACAAGCTTTAATCCCCATTGTATTCAAATATAGGCTTACGATGAAATCTTTTCTACACTGTAAATGTCTTCATTACTTTTTATTAGTTCCAATCGATCCAATAGGTTATTTTCAATATTTTTACCGCCGTAACCCTGTCTTTATAAAAGTTGAAGTTAACCAAGTCAGTTTAAGTCGTCTTTTTTTGTTTTCTTTTTCAACGATTTTCACTTATCTAAAGACAGAACCTGACTTGCTGAACGACGTCAGGAATATTAGAAAAAAAAGTCATAATTTTAACCACTATGTGACAGTCTAGAGATTTTGTATGTATACTAAGGCCTTAGTCGATGTTTCTAAAAGATAGTTCTTGAGTTACAAGAGAAGACTAACAGAATGAGGTTGAACTATGAATACGACTTGTATAAATTGTTGCTGAATGCAAAGTAGGGTAGTTCTAATATGGCAACAGCCGTGTGATAACAGGTCTGTATCATTTTCTCATTAAGTAGTGTGGAGTAAAATCAATTTTCCCAGTATCCTATCAGAAAATAAAAGTTGCAATATTCTTTGCTGATATCTTTTTTAACCATAATCAGTATATCGGTTTTTATTTTTTTAACGCTCCCTCTTGTTAATTGGGTTGAGTTAGAAAACAGCAAACAATGGTTTGAGGAGCGAATTTGCATGAAAATCATATCCGTGCGAGAAGTTGTTTTGGGCAAAACGCGTTGATTGAAAACTCCCTTATACTTAAGTGATACTGAATCAGATCAACCTTCCGGTAAAGACTCGATACGTTTAGACACTATCTAGACTTTAATGGTTAAGTTTTTTGTTGTGGCATCTTCCTCATCGGTAATGAAAGTAAAAGTCGTAAAAACCTTTTTAATACATTTCTGAGTGCTTTCTTGAATAAACAAGTCTTTTTAGAGATTAAGGTGCGATGGACGGCTTTGTCATTTTAATTTCTCTCAAAAAACCGACTGAAGAGGCCATAAAACTTTTATCTTACGATTCATTAGGGTCTGTTGTATCACCCATGCGCGATATTGACTATGTAAAACAATCGCCGATGTGTAAGGCTTAAACAGCAAAAAGGAAGACAGTGACTTATTGCTATCACTTTGAGAAAGATGATAAGTTTTCGCAGCCGGAAGATGCTTATAGCTTAAGCTTAGAACAGGGGTATAAAGGGTAAGTATAGAACTGACTTAATTTCTGTTAGAGCTTTAAAACCAGTATTACTTTTTTGAAGCGTGATGCACGGAACACAGATCTTTTAATTTTATTAAGGAAAGTTAAGCATTTGATTTGCGGCAAACAACGCAAACTTTACGTTCGAGCTGTTTGCTTTCCACCATGGTGCACTTAAGTGGAAATACTTCTTGCCTAAATGGTGGAAAAAAGTTTTTTTTTGTAATTTTCTCTGGGTTAATTCAAGAAATATAAGCCAAGCGGTTAAATTCTGAAGGTAATCAAAGGTATACCTTAATACACCTTTACATGATAAACTTAAAACATTGAAATAAACACAAAGCTGTTTCTATTATACATTCCCAAACTTTGTCTCTCAATCTTAACCTCTGTTTTTGATAAATTGTTGTATTATTTTCAAAGCGTATCCATGGTTAGCTGTGTAACATCACCAGTAAAAATTTTCATAATTTCTCGATTATAGTTCATTTCTACTCTTTTGAAGTTTCCAAGGCTTGTTATCAGATTGAACGATTTCCGCTTAAATTCATTTGATCAACACTCTAACGCTTTCACTAAATAGATTCGGCTTCTTTCCGCACCTGGTTAGTCTCTTAATGAAGTTTTCCTCAAATGTGAGCTGCAGAAAGAAAACACGCTCATACTAGCTATGGCAAAAAAAAAAGACCAGCAACAACGACCACCTGATCAAAAGAAAAACGAAAGAAAAAAAACAGCACATAAAGAAATGCGATGTATACGAAATGAATTCTAAGTTGTGGCGAGTCTTGCAATTCATTTATTTCTTTCTTCGCATAAATTGATTCATGTGCACTCTTTACCTTTTCATTTATCCACCATTACTTTCGTGCCTGATTTAATTTTTGGCGGCTTGTGTATTCCGTGTATCTCACTTTTCAAGCAGTTGTTTAAACGTTCCGTGCTATAACCTCTTCGGTTCGAATTTTTCGTGAGTTTGCAACCAGTCACATACTGAAAGTGATGTTTTGTCAAATATAGGAAAATATTTCTTGACCTCGGAAAAGTGTTAGATTTTTTACAAATTATGTCTTTATGTTGAGCAAAAATATGATAACAATGCAAAAAGATGTATTTTCCAATGATATTCCTACAGTTGTGAAAGGACTCCTTTTTTTGTTATCATGTTTAATCACTTCTTGGGTTATTGAAAGGACAAGCATTTTGTTAGAAGTAAATTCAGTCAAACCGCATATTAAAGCAGATGGGTCTGAATTCGATATTAACTAGAATTTGAGATAATAATAAGGTTTATAGCGTGAGCAGTATTTCTGTGAAATAAAAATCACATAACATATGATTTTTTTTATATTTAAGATCATTAAAAATATCTAAGTTTTACAAAATAGTGGTGTTTAAACAAAAGAAAACAATAGAATTAACACAAAATTGTATAATTTAGCATCACTTCTTCAATATATTGTTCTCACTCTACTATTTAACTGTTTCACCCACCTTGAGCAATGGAACACTCTTAAAATGTACATTGAACTGCTGACCCCCCCCCAAACTTCTTGATACGAAGTTAAATAGCCCCCCCTCTAGCCAATAGCCTTGAACCCCCCTTCTTTGGTCCCTTTCCCACCCTCCCCTACTCCTCTACGTAAATAATGACCAGTCCCTTAAGTGGTGATTATTTCCTTTATTCTGTGACCTTAATGTTTGTTTCAGGGGCGATATTTTGAGGAGAAATTAGATGCTGGGCACTCATGGGGGACAAACGGTTTAAAGAGTATTAAATTTTCTGTTGAATCTAAGTGTTTTATCAGAGCTGGCCCTTGCCTTTTCATTTTGTACAAGTAAAGTATAATTTAATTATTCATTTACTGTAAGAAGTAAAAAAATCCGCAGGCTTTGGTAGTATGCTTGCATATTTTCAGGGCAACATTGTCCATATTACTAAAGAAGTCTACTTAGTCGCGCCTTTCAAACAATCACAAGATATCTTTGTTTACATTTGGAAAATTGACCTGACAATGTGGACATTTCACGTGGCATTGCACGACATGAGCTTCCTAGATAAATTAACAACCTTCGCATCACCTGGCTATACCACTCTGCATGCTGAAATTCATAGCAAATCAACCAATAGACGACGTAGCCCAATTTTATGACTCTATCCTACATTACTATATCTTTCAAATGGAGCAAAACCTAATTAAGCCTTGTGGTCTTGCTTGAGGCTATTTCCAAAGCATTTTTAAGTACTTTGTAATGCCATATTTTTTGCCAAGGCCGGAAGGTAATGCAGGCGAACTATGATATACAGTTTTTCCTTGCAATGAACGAAATCAATGTACACTATTTATTCAATATTATATTTCAAACAAGAACAGAGACAAAGATCTTTAGTGTAAAGAAATAATTTGATCTTACGTCTTTGAAAAATAAAAATCTACTTTCCTTCTCTCAAATGATAGAAAAAGCTAGACATGTTAAAAGAAATCGGAGTAATAATATTTACCTTGATATCTTGGATCACGGACTGGCAAATATCCCCTCTGACGCTCCACCTACAATCTACTTTGTAAAATGATATCATTTAAAGATATACCCTTTCATCAAAGACCGTTTCTTTAATGTTCTTGAGAGACAGAGCCTGCCAGAATTAAAAGGAAATTTGAAACATTACGTCCGGCGTCAACCTACGACGACAGCCAACTGATGGGTATGTCACTTTGCATCCTGGCGTTTTTTGTTTTTTTTTCCTAACATCTCGCCTTTACGTCTTCTGCTAGTTGCTTATTAATGATGTTTTTCATAATCACTATTATTCTTTCAGGACTCTCTCAGATGAAGAACGATTTTAAAAGTCTGTTATTTTCTGAGTCATCAGTTTAACTTATGAAAGGTTTCTTTTCAACTGGACATACTTGTCACCTGTCTAAACATATTGTGCATCTGTTCTAAAAAGGTGTATTTTCGATTGCTAGGAAAGGTTGACGCATTGATAATAATTGGTTGAAAACAATATCGGTGATTTATCAGAAGCTGTTATCGATTTTACTATAAATCATTTTTAACCGGATCTTTTCTAAGAAAGTACCGCAGCTAGCCGAATTGTCTTGTTAGACCTCCAACCCTGCTTGTAAGTAACATTTATTTCAGTTTATTCCATACTTATTTCAGTTCAGGTGCTCTCTTAAAATTAAAGCAAATCTTTATGTTTTTTCAAATGCAAATCTTATGTAATCTCAACGCAACAAACCGAGAGGCACTCAGCTTTTGTTTTTTCCCCATGATACATGCACTGCATGCTCTTATTTTTTTTCAAAAATGGGCTCCTTGCCTTTTAAAGCGGATGCGCGTGTTTAGCCGATATACATGGAATAAAAGAATTAGAAATCAAAGGAAGAGACTGTCTAAATCATTTTCTACTAAGTAAAAACTACAGACAAAATATTCGTAAACTATTTCCCAAACATTACATTTAGAAGGAGTGACACTTTTGCATTATCGCAGTACACACTGTGATTGCACCGTGTCCTTCCATTAGGGAGCTGTGAAGTCCAAATCAAATTTTCATACATTTTGTATTGGTTAGGAAGTGTTTGCGCTTTATGTGGTTAGAAATATGATTGTCCAAGGTTAGATTATTACACTGACAATCAATTGTGTGGACAAATATGTAAGACAGAATTAAGATTCAGAAAAGACATGGTTGTCAAAATCAGCATCATCGAAGTGAGATTAATGCAACTCAACTGATTAATGTATTAAGACTTGATAAACTGCTTGTCTCGGACGTTTTTTAATAAAGTTAAATGAAAACTTTTAAGAAGGGCAAGCAGAAGCTACCGACAATTAACCATCACTCACTTGAAAACATCTGCCATCCTGCCGCATCGCCTGGAAAGGAGATGAAAGAGGCTTACTTTTGGACTTTTGTATTTGTGAGAAAGCGTACATAACTTGCGATTGGGACATTGTTTTCGGGGAGAATGCAAGAATATAGCAGTGTAAGAGTCTTTTACCGACCTTACCACACTACCATAGTCTACAAGAAGCAGAAAGCACCTGATTATTAGTATGAGCGAGAAAAAAGTAAGGATTATTCACGCATTTTAATAACAAGCTGAGTTTTCAAGAAGTGGCAAGGTGTTTCTGGAAAAATTTGTTCTGCAAAAATCTATTTCAATCTCGAAGATATAGTCCATGCCAAGAGATGATACCCTCTCTTGTCTGCGCCATAAAACAGACAAAGAGATCCTTCGATAACAATTATATGAAGATATTGTGGAAAAAA